ATATTTGATACACTATATATATTTTGTTTATTATAATCAACTTCGATAGTTTAGCGTTGAAGGGGCTCTGGACCTCGCTTCACTTAAAGCCGCTACTGGGAATGTCAAATAGAATGACGAAGAGTATCAGGACTGCATTACATGCGAGATATTATTTCAGTATAATTCAGTATGTAAATGCGCTGAAACGGAACACTCACTGGGCAATGCTCGACGCGGACTTAACCGACTTTTTTCTGTTACTTGCGGAGTAATGTAATAATAACATAATCTGCATTATCAGGATAATAGTGATCACACTATTTTAATTATTTGATTATAATGAAAGTTTACCTTAAGATCCGACTCGTATGATTTGTCCCAGAGATTGGGCCCAAGGAAGGCAGTTTGGGCATCAACGTTGTTCCAAAGCTCACCATCGTCTTTTTTGTCGTCATTCCCTAATATACTACTTGCTAAGTCTTTGATCGCCGAATGACCATGACCGTGTGGATGTGTTGGTTTACTGTTTCCTGTAACAGAATACAAAAAATTATTAACAAATCGCAAACAAAAATGTTAATTATGGCTATTAATTGGATTCATTTTAAAAGTGTGTAGTCGAGGTTTACTACTTTAGAAAAATCTAAAATTTTTGTTTGTAACATCTACGAGGGTGGATTGATAAGTTTCCGGCCTAACCAAGAGATGACGCCACTAGGCCTACCTTGAGGTGACATTCTATAGTACCATCCTTGGATAGCTTGTAGCTATAGTTTCAGCCCGATCTCCTTGCTAGTGTAGGTTTGACAGCNCTGTATTCTGTCGAAACTGCCAGACGCGGATCGCGATTTCGATCTTTTTGGATCTCATCAGCGCGTCGCAGGCAGCTCCGACAGAACACAGACCAACTTATAAGTTAGCTACGCCGGGATTCGTTTCAGCAAGTAGATATCCATATATTTAAATGGACCTTGTTGAAGCCTACGTAATCCTAAAATGTAGCACATTGTACTACAGATGGCGTTGATCGCGCAATTTGTGGTATTTTATAAAACGCGCTGTTAAGACAGCAGGTAAAAGTTGATCTGTGTTCTATCGGAGCTGTCTGCGACGCGCTGATGAGATCCAAAAAGAACGAAATCGCGATCCGCGTCTGGCAGTTTCGACAGAATACAGACCACTTCGAATTATTTTATTCAACCCTTCTAAAGTAAAACGGCCGTCCATAAAATATATTTCATATTATTATTTCGTCATATTATCACCTTTCCGATTCTAAAATCGCTACGTCAACCCCCACCGTTCTCCCCCACGTAACAAAACCGTACAGCCAGACTGGACCCCTCTACCCCCAATTTTGGTTACGTAATTTATAGACAGCCCCTAACGAAAATGTACAATGTAAGTAGCAGTTGATACTAATTGGTAACTAAAAATTTTTTGAGTGTTTCTATCCATACTCTGGTTCCAGTGTAAAGCTGGAGGGTAGAGTGGATGGTCCTATTCAGTTTTGCACGGGTGGTAGTTGAGAAAAACAAAAATGAATACAAAAATAAAGGTGAAAGAAGTGAAAATTAAAAAAAAAAACTCCAGCACATGATTCTAAACATATTCGGTCAATGTTTTGATGGTGACATCTTTCCTGATGAAACGTGAGTTTTCAATTTTCTAAATATGAAAGACATTTACGCCCTTATCATCATCATCTTCAGTCCAAAGACTGGTTTGACACGTATCTCCATCAACCTACATCTCTAACGATTTGCAAACAATAATTTAATCAATGTCTGCATCTACCTCTCTTAACACCTGTCTGCCTCTTATTTGTCTCTAACTAGCCCTAAGGGCTTCTATTTCATTTCCGAAGCGCCCACCGGTAACGTTTCACACCCATGCAAAATCTTAAGTGTTAACTAATAGATTACTTGGTAATGACAACTCGAAAATTGTCCGGAACGCTAGTAGATAGTAGACATCAATTCTTTCGCATTTTGCGATTTTTTGATTCACGTATTATGAAACTTGAACTTGATTCGCCTTAAAATTTACTTTTTTTCTGATTCTTGTTGTAAACTTACTCGAGTCAGCGGGTGAAGGAGGGTTGATGGTGTCTGGACTCATGCAGTCGCTAGGACTGGGCGATCGCTCCCTTTTTGTGACTCCGTGTCCACTGCTAAGGGATGCTGACCCATGAGAACCTAGACCGTCCATTGAGACACCATTTTCCGACAAGAACTCGTCCAGGTCCACATACTAAAAAGAAAAAAGGTTCATCATTATTACACTCCTTTTCTGCTTTTCTCATTGCGTGGGTTCGTCTAGAGTTACGGCGTGTTAAAGTAAAAACAATAATTGGATATTAAATCCTTATAATTGGATATGGGAAGGAAAAACATTTTTAATGCGTAAACATCTTATGTGACGGTCTATAATCACAAATGTGCAAAATGTTTTTTTTTTAAGAATTTAAATACAAAATGCAAATACTTTTTTGATTTGCTATTTCAAATGTAAAATACAAAAAAAAATCCCTTTTGTATTTTAAATGCTACATGCAATTCCATGGATCATGACATTGGTATCAAGATTGAGAAAATTTTTGATCTTTTTATTAAAATCAAAAAGTGTGTCATTTATTAATTTTTTTTTGCCTTCAGAAAGCATAATGATTATTGTATTATGACAGTTTAAAAAGTTAGTAGCTAGCGTGGTTTCGTCAGCAACAGTGCTTTCCTTCAGTAAATTATTCAGAAACGGACTCGTGGCTGAGTTGATCGCAAAACTGGTATTCTCATTCAAGTATTTTAATGGAGACATACAATTTTTTTTTTGTTTATTAATTGTCTTCTAAATTTTTTGTTATGACGATATCTTTTTAGCACCTTGAACCCTGTTAAACTGAATTCTACGCAAATGCAATCGTAATGGAACTGTTTAAGATTCATCAAAGTTAATAAGAAAAGGGTTCTTAAACTTCCACCGACAGAACCCAGTGAGTCTGTGTATGAGAGATGAGCGCTGCGGCGAATGCCAAATAAATCGGGATTGATATTCGGAAAACGCGCCAAGTTGCAAATTTTGCAGCCACGCCTGTTGGTTTATTCATAGATGCGTTCCCAAATCGGTTTCCGTACCAATAATAATAATCGCAAATGTATTATTGACTTTAGATTAGTGATGAGCAAAATTCGTCTTGATCTTGCGAAACTTTAACACCAAGACTGGACCAAAATAAAATGTTTAAATATTTAATATAT